GGGACCTCGTAGAGAGGTCCCGTCCGGCGATCAGTGTTCCACTGTGTCCGGAGGACACAGCGGGCACCAGATCGCGGTGCTGTGCGATCCCAGGGAGCGTGCACAAGCAGGGTGCGGGGGGGGGGGCCATTTATAAACGGCCACCCGAACCTGCACTGTAACCGTCCGGCCGTTTATATATACAATGGCCGGACGGGAGGTGGTTAAGGACTAGTAAACTGCAATACATTTCATTTTTGTTTTGGGTTTAATATTGCTTTAAAATCCAACTCCTGTAGGGTGTGAGAGCGAACTACCCAAAACACATTTATATTTTAGGAATATACGTCAGGTTTATGTCATTTGCTAGATTCTTATTTTTTATTAAACCCATTGGTAAGATATCTGGATAGGACTGCACCCACTTGCTACCTTCTACAAGGGGATCTCACTTTCCATGTCAAAATTTTCAAATATTTTATTTTAGGGAAAATGCAGCTGGAGCAGATATAGAAGAAATATTTCTGGAGGGAAACATCAAGGCTGTCATCTCACATCTTGCTCTGATAATTTCAGTAGCCAACACAGAGTAAGTATACATACAGTGGGGAAAACCAAATTTGATCCCCTGCAGATTTTGCAAGTTTCCCGACTTACAAAGAAATGAAGGGTCTATAATTTTTATCATAGGTGTATTTTAAATGATATAGACAGAATATCAACCAAAAATCCAGAAAAAAAAAATGATACAAATGTTATAAATTGGAGTTGCAGTTCAGTGAGTAAAAGAAGTATTTAATCCCCAAGCAAAACATGACTCGGTACTTGGTGGAGAAACCCTTGCTGGCACGTGCAAAGGAAGTCGTTTCTGGTGGTTGGACACCAGGTTTGTTACAGAACTTCTCTAAAACCTTAAGGTTTTTTGGCTGCCGCTTGGCAACTCGAGGTTTCAGCTTCCTCCATAAATTTTCTAAAGGGTTAAGGTCTGGAGACTGACTAGGCCACTCCATGACCTTAATGTGCTTCTTCTTCAGCCACTCCTTTGTTACCTTTGTTGGTGGTATGTTTTGGGTCATTGTCATGCTGCAAGACCCATCCATGATCCATCTTAAATGTTCTGGTTGACGGAAGAAGGTTCTCATCCAAGATTTTACAATACATGGCCCCATCCACTGGCCCCTCAATGCGGCAAAGTCGGCCTGTACCTTTAGCAGAGAAACAGCTCCAAAGCATAATGTTTTCACCTCCACGCTTGACTGTAGGGATAGTGTTCTTAGGGTCATAGTGAACATTTTTTTTCTTCCTCCAAATTCGGCGAGTAACGTTAATACCAAAGAGCTCAATTTTGGCCTCATCTGACCACAGCCCTTTCTCCCAATCCTTCTCTGAATCATTTAGATGTTCATATGCAAACTTCACATTGGTCTGTGCATGTGCCTTCTTGAGGAGGGGACCTTGAGGGCACTGTAGGATTTCAATCCATGGCGGCATATGGTGTTACCAATGGTTTGTTTGGTGACTGTGGTCCCAATTGCCTTGAGATCATTCACAAGCTTCTCCTGTGTAGTTCTGGGCTGATCCCTCACTTTTCTCATGATCACCCTTACCCCATGAGGCGAAATCTTGCATGGAGCTGCAGACCGAGGGAAATTGATGGATAATTTGTATTTCTTCCATTTGCGAATAATCGCTCCAACAGTTGTCTCCTTCTTGCCAAGCTTCTTGCTGATGATCTTGTAGCCATTCCAGTCTTGTGCAGGTCTACAATCTTGTCCCTAATGTTCTTTGACAGCTCTTAATATTATACACATAACGAGTTTAGGAGCACCTTTTTAAATTGACAGGACTAATCTGTGTACCACATGAGCACATAGCCAGCCTGTGGAAGCCAGAATTATTGTTGGCTGGTAGGGGATCAAATACTTATTTTTACTCACTGAAAAGTAAATCAATTTATAACATTTGTATCATGTGTTTTTTCTGGATTTTTGGTTGATATTCTGTCTCTATCATTTAAAATACACCTATGCTAAAAATGATAGACCCTGCATTTCTTTGTAAGTGGGGAAACTTGCAAAATCTGCAGGGGATCAAATAATTATTTTCCCCAGTGTAAGACAGGTGGACAGTTTCAAACCACTAAGAGCACACCAAATTTATAGTACTAGACATTCTTTACAATTCTTGTTGTTACACAGCAATTAGTTTGAATCAGGTTTGAAGTTTATTTATATAAAGATTGTAACATTTAATATTGTGATAGATAATACATGAAAAGTTAGGTTCCTCTTTACACTGGAGATTAAACCTTTACATTTTTTACCAGGAAATCGGGTTAGAAGGTTGTATTAAAAAAAAAAGATAGTAGTAGATAATATGGGAAATTACACTGAACATGCAATAAACAGACATATTTTCACACATGTAGATGTACAGAGCTCACTTACTGTGGGGGATGGATCTTGGTTGACTTCTGGCAAGTTTGGTTCCAGTGTAGAAGTAGAAATGGGGGATGAGCTTCTTTGATGGTTTTTGGATGTAGCACTGGAACGTGGAAGTGAATGTATTGGGGCATTAGGACCTATAAAGCAAAAGATACAAATGAGGATGTAAGACACGATCAGAATTTGTAGCACATGGTACAGCATTTGCTTGTAAAACATTTAAATAAAGATTAGTGGATACAATTAGACATTTATTTCAAAATATTTGCAGATTTTGAGTGTGGAAATGTTTCTATTCTAATCAAATGTTGTTCTACGATATTCCTAGTTTAAAATAATAACTGTAGATCATTTAAATGAGCTCATTGTTTTGAGTTCCATACAGAATAATCTAGTATGGGACACTGCAATTTATTAAAGAATTACATTTTCTAATATGGCCCTCTGATATCTTTAAATTTTATATTAAGGGCTAGTGTCAATGGGCTTTTTTCCACTTCATAACTGCTTCACTTCCCATATAAGTCTATGGGAATGCAAAAGCAGATGAAACAGGTCAAATACAAGATTATTTCATCTGTAATGATATGTGAATAATCCCGGAAGTATGTCAAACTGATAGCAAAAGCAGACTGCATTTGCTCAACAAAGCCAGTCGACATAGGCCCTTAATTTGCTGTAATACTTACACCCCCTTCAATAAAATGAAAGATACAGTTGTGTAATTAACTAGAGCTTTCAAAGTAACTGAAACTTCCAAGGATCAATGTGGCTGTTTTTGCCTCTTTTAAAATAAAAGGTTGGTAATCAGAAGGCAATGTGTGTCATGTTTATCAAATGGCAGTCTTAAACCTAGGAGGTGTTTCGTACACTCATGAATCAACAGCTTTTACACAATTAACTATGACTACTGTTATAAACCCACAAGAAATCAATATAGATTATTCAACATGGAGCAAAATGCAAAATCCATAATCAAGCAATTAGGTTTCATCTTGTATTGGTGTATCTTCAGATAAAGTGGATTCCATTTGGTTGTTATGGTTGCTGCTCTTAAGCTCCGAACACTATTTTGAATACAATCCTATTCATTCTTCACTGGAACAGGAAAGAGAATGCATTGTAGAGATTCAACCCTAGGTGGCAGCAGTGTTATTACATTCATTAAAAACAATCTCAGAAGCCATTTTCTTGTGACATCAACCTAAGCAAACAGAGATCACATCTCAATCCAAGCTTGAACATGTCTAAAAATTCTCTTCAACAAGTCCTTGGAGTTTGCAAATTCTTTCACCAGGCTGCTCTGAAATTCATGCTTTCACTCGTCTAGTGTTTTGGAAAAGACTGTACTATTACTTCCATAGCTGTCTGCATAGAAAAAATAATTTCCAGCCATCATCTTATTTCCAGCTGTTAAATGTCACACTTTTTAGCACAAAATGGCATCTACTTTTTATCCACAAAAATATAAACCAGATTTCATTAAGAAACTGCAGCTTTCACAATCTACACAATGCCTAGAATCGGCACCCCCCTTGTATATCATTAATTCAAACAAGCATTTGCAGTCTGTCCTGGATGTGTGAGTACATACAGCTAGATGCACACATACTGCACTGCCCTTTTAGTGACAGTGCCAGTTATAACATTTACCTGTTTTAAGACCTCAAATAGAAGACGACAAAAAGGGTAGATGTCTATTTGGCACCCCCACTTCCCCCAGTTATTCTAAGCCAGGGTTTTTCAACCAGGGTTCCGTGGAACCCTAGGGTTGCTCCAGGAGGTTGCCAGGGGTTCCTTGAGCAATTTTTGCCTCTCGGGTATGTTCCCACTGACACTATTGATCTTTTTAGCCATCTGTAAGGGGGTAATTCCTCCCAATGACCACAAGTGTAAGGAGCATTCTTACCTCTGATTATCACACTAATGTATCATGAATTGTAGATAAAGTCATTTTTAGCAGGGGTTCCCTGAGACTGGAAAGTCAAGGGTTCCTCTGAAAAGGTTGAGAAAGGCTGCTTTAAGCCCTAGCCAAAAGCTCAGGATACCATACTCAATACAGCATAAAGGTGATTTGGGTGCACTGATTCTTTAGACAGGCATTAACAATATTCTACACAAAAGAAAGCATAAAGAAATCTGAAAGCATTATCTTTATGTTGTCATGTTGTAAAGCGCCGCGCAAACTGTTGGTGCTATATAAATCCTGTATAATAATAATAGTAACCGCTTCCCATCCACCCTATAACAAAAGTACTGTTACAGGATGGCAAGATCATGTATGTATATATATATATATATATATATATATACATATATATATATACATATATATATATATATATATATATATATACACATACACATACACACACACACATACACGCACACGTGATTTTGCATTTCCGGGTAGGCGGCGCATGCGTCCTACCTGCGCCACCATTCGCTGCCGCCAATCACCAGGTCCCGGCCGGTGATGACTTGCCAGCGTCCAGCGATTGCCGACTATCTCCGAAGGGGAGGGGAGAACTGTTTGTAAACAAAAGTGTTCTCTCCCGTCAGCTCCTACACACTGATTTGCATGGCTGTGCACAGCACAGCCATGCAAAGCAGTGTGCTTACAGTGTGTGCTTACAGTGAAGCACAGAGACACAGCCCCTAGTAAAACAGCACACTGTTAACCCTTTGATTGCCCCACATGTTAACCCCTTCCTGCCCAGTGCCATTATTACAGTGTCAGTGCTGTTTATTAGTGTCAGAATGCCCACCGCAGTCCCGTTATAAGTCGCTGATTGCCACCATTACACCAAAAAATGTACTGCCATTTGTAAACGCTATACCTTTCACGTAAACCAATTAATTTACACGTATTGGGATTTTTTTTTTTTTTTTAGCAAAGACATGTAGCAGAATACATTTTGGCCTACATTTATGCCGAAATTATATTTTTAAAAATGTTTTTGGACATGTTTAATAGCAAAAGTCAAAATTAATGTTTTTTTTCTCAAAATTGTCAGTAATTTTTTATTTCATAGTGCAAAAAATAAAAACCGCACAGGTGATCAAATACCACCAAAAGAAAGCACTATTCATGGGAAAAAAAGGACATAAATTTCATTTGGGTGCAGCGTTGCAGGACCACGCAATTGTCAGTTAAATTAACGCAACGCCGTACAACAAAAAATGTCCTGATCAGGAAGGGGGGTAAATCCTCTGGAGGACAAATGGTTAATAACGTTGAAGCAGCATTTTCTAGCACAGCTATAGCATGTTTTCCATAATAAAAACAATACAATACTCACAATTATCCATTAGAGCTTTGTCTATTATTACTCAGGGTAACAGAAAAAGTACTTATTTCAGCAACGAATCAAAATTTTTTCCTAAAATGGCGGCGACATGTGCGGCGACGGAGCAGGGATGCCTGGGAAGGCGCGCAGACAAGGCGCGCTGACCCATAATGCATTCATTCATGACATGTGATCGCATTAGCCAATCAGCAGCCAGCCAGCCAGCACTGTGTAATGGTCGAGCTATAAATGGCGGCCATTTTAGAATTCTCCATTTGCCTCCAGTCATTCAACAGAGGCAGACCTGGCTGTATTCAGGGAGAGAGTTAGGGACACAGAAACGTTACTTAGGGACATAGAAACGTTAGTTAGGGACACAGAAACGTTACTTAGGGCCACAGAAACGTTACTTAGGGACACAGAAACGTTACTTAGGGCCACAGAAACTTTACTTAGGGACACAGAAACGTTACTTAGGGCCACAGAATCGTTACTTAGGGCCACAGAAACGTTACTTAGGGCCACAGAAACGTTACTTAGGGCCACAGAAACAGAAGAATTGTTACTTAGGGACAGACACAGAATTGTTACTGAGGGACACAGAATTGTTACTGAGGGCCACAGAAACTGTTACTTAGGGCCACAGAAACGTTACTTAGGGCCACAGAATTGTTACTTAGGGACAGACACAGAATTGTTACTGAGGGACACAGAATTGTTACTGAGGGCCACAGAACTGTTACTTAGGGCCACAGAAACGTTACTTAGGGACACAGAATTGTTACTTAGGGACAGACACAGAATTGTTACTTAGGGACAGACACAGAATTGTTACTGAGGGGCACAGAATTGTTACTTAGGGCCACAGAAACGTTACTTAGGGCCACAGAATTGTTACTTAGGGACAGACACAGAATAATTGTTACTGAGGGACACAGAATTGTTACTGAGGGCCACAGAACTGTTACTTAGGGGCACAGAAACGTTACTTAGGGACACAGAAATTGTTACTTAGGGACAGACACAGAATTGTTACTGAGGGCCACAGAATTGTTACTTAGGGCCACAGAAACGTTACTTAGGGACACAGAATTGTTACTTAGGGACAGACACAGAATTGTTACTTAGGGACAGACACAGAAACGTTACTTAGGGCACAGAAACGTTACTTAGGGCCACAGAATTGTTACTTAGGGACACAGAAACGGTTACTTAGGGACACAGAGAATTGTTTAGACAACTTAGGGACAGACACAGAATTGTTACTGAGGGGACACAGAATTGTTACTGAGGAATTGTTACAGAACAGAAACGTTACTTAGGGCCACAGAAACGTTACTTAGGGCCACAGAAACATTACTTAGGGCCACAGAAACGTTACTTAGGGCCACAGAAACGAATTGTTACATAGGGCCACAGAATTAGGGCCACAGAAACTTTACTTAGGGCCACAGAAACGTTACTTAGGCCACAGAATTGTTACTTAGGGACAGACACAGAATTGTTACTGAGGGACACAGAAACGTTACTGAGGGCCACAGAACCGTTACTTAGGGCCACAGAAACGTTACTTAGGGACACAGAATTGTTACTCAGGGACAGACACAGAATTGTTACTGAGGGACACAGAATTGTTACTGAGGGACACAGAATTGTTACTCAGGGACACACAAATTGTTACTCAGGGACACAGAATTGTTACTCAGGACAGACAAATTGTTACTGAGGGACACAGAATTGTTACTCAGGGGACACAGAATTGTTACTGAGGGACACAGAATTGTTACTGAGGGACACAGAATTGTTACTGAGGGACACAGAATTGTTACTGAGGGACACAGAATTGTTACTGAGGGACACAGAATGTTACTCAGGGACACAGAATTGTTAATTGTTACTCAGGGACAGACACAGAATTGTTACTGAGGGACACAGAATTGTTACTGAGGGACACAGAATTGTTACTTAGGGACACAGAATTGTTACTCAGGGACACAGAATTGTTACTCAGGGACAGACACAGAATTGTTACTGAGGGACACAGAATTGTTACTCAGGGACACAGAATTGTTACTCAGGGACACAGAATTGTTACAGGGACACAGAATTGTTACTGAGGGACACAGAATTGTTACTGAGGGACACAGAATTGTTACTCAGGGACACAGAATTGTTACTCAGGGACACAGAATTGTTACTCAGGGACACAGAACAGAATTGTTACTGAGGGACACAGAATTGTTACTCAGGGACACAGAATTGTTACTGAGGGACACAGAATTGTTACTCAGGGACACACAGAATTGTTACTTAGGGACACACAGAATTGTTACTCAGGGACAGACACAGAATTGTTACTGAGGGACACAGAATTGTTTACTGAGGGACACAGAATTGTTACTCAGGGACAGACACAGAATTGTTACTCAGGGACACAGAATTGTTACTCAGGGACAGACACAGAATTGTGTTACTGAGGGACACAGAATTTGTTACTGAGGGACACAGAATTGTTACTCAGGGACAGACACAGAATTGTTACTCAGGGACAGAATTGTTACTTAGGGACACAGAATTGTTACTCAGGGACACAGAATTGTTACTGAGGGACACAGAATTGTTACTCAGGGACACAGAATTGTTACTGAGGGACACAGAAATTGTTACTGAGGGACACAGAATTGTTACTCAGGGACACACAGAATTGTTACTGAGGGACACAGAATTGTTACTCAGGGACACACAGAATTGTTACTCAGGGACAGACACAGAATTGTTACTGAGGGACACAGAATTGTTACTGAGGGACACAGAATTGTTACTCAGGGACACAGAATTGTTACTCAGGGACACAGAATTGTTACTGAGGGACACAGAATTGTTACTGAGGGACACAGAATTGTTACTCAGGGACACAGAATTGTTACTCAGGGACACAGAATTGTTACTCAGGGACAGACACAGAATTGTTACTGAGGGACACAGAATTGTTACTGAGGGACACAGAATTGTTACTCAGGGACACACAGAATTGTTACTGAGGGACACAGAATTGTTACTGAGGGACACAGAATTGTTACTCAGGGACACAGAATTGTTACTCAGGGACAGACACAGAATTGTTACTGAGGGACACAGAATTGTTACTGAGGGACACAGAATTGTTACTCAGGGACAGAACACAGAATTGTTACTCAGGGACACACAGAATTGTTACTCAGGGACACAGAATTGTTACTGAGGGACACAGAATTGTTACTCAGGGACACAGAATTGTTGTTACTCAGGGACACAGAATTGTTACTGAGGGACACAGAATTGTTACTCAGGGACACAGAATTGTTACTGAGGGACAGAATTGTTACTCAGAATTGTTACTGAGGGACACAGAATTGTTTACTCAGAATTGTTACTCAGGGACAGGACACAGAATTGTTACTCAGGGACACAGAATTGTTACTGAGGGGACACAGAATTGTTACTGAAGACACAGAATTGTTACTGAGGGACACAGAATTGTTACTGAGGGACACAGAATTGTTACTCAGGGACACAGAATTGTTACTCAGGGACACAGGGTTACTCAGGGACACAGAATTGTTTACTCAGGGACACAGAATCGTTTAATTAAAGAGTATGTCAGACAACATGCAGAGGAGTGGCAGAGGAGGCAATGTTTTAGGAGCGAGCAGACGTGGCAGCAGAGGAAGGGGTCGAGGCAGCACTAGTCGCAGCCAGAGGCCAGTGCTCCCGGTGTCATCCAGCGGTCGTGTCTCCACCGACAACCCTGCCGTCATCGATTGGTTGGCTCGGTCGTCTTCCTCTTCCCAGGTCACCTCTGACACCTACAGCCAACGGTCGGTGGGTACGTCAGACACAACCGTTAGTTGGCATGGCCCGGGAGCAAGCCCACTGAAATCACGTGTCCTCGACCTGCCCCTGTCCTTTGGTGTTCCCTCACCAAGCGAAGTATCGCATGCTGTGGGCTCAGCCCCACTGTACAGTGAGGAAGAGCTAACAGAGGGCGGTCAGGAACGGGGGGAGACATCCGCCTCTTCAGCAGCCAGGCGAAGAAGTAGTGGCGAGGAGAGTGGCTCGGTAGCCGGTCTAGAGACAGGTCTGTCTCCTGACCCACACGCGCAGCCGAGGGGGCTAGTAGTGAGGCGGAGACCCTAATTGATGATGATGATGAGGCTGATCGCACTTGGCAGCCTCGTCGTCATCAGGCTATTGCTTCCGCATCATCAGGAGAAGAGGGTGGCAGCTTGGCAGCGAGCAAAACAGTCGGTGGGTTGCCCAGGAGGCAGCAGGGTCGCAGCAGTGTGTCAGTGGAGGCAAACGGCCACGGAGTAGAGCACCAGCTCCACTGCAGCCTACCACCACGGCCAGTAGTGGTGCCGGTGTGCACGGAGGAAGCAGCAGTCAGCCAGTGAGGAGTATCGGGGGCAAAGTTTCCTACTCTCGGCGGTGTGGCAATTTTTTTGTCAAGCCGCCCGAGGAAGTAAACGTAGCCGTATGTCGACTATGTGGCCAGAAAGTCAAGCGTGGCCAGGGGGCCCATGTTGGGACTACAGCGTTGCGGCAGCATATGCAGCGTCGTCGCCATTTGGTGGCCTGGGAAAACCGTGATATAAAGATACGGCGGTTCTGCCTGCCCCAGCCCCCGCTCCATCACCCGCTCCTCCGTTACTTGCTCCGTCACCCGACGTCAATCGCCCTCTATCAGCCAGTCAAGGCTCCAACACCTCTGCTGAGGGGAGTTGTCGCTCGTTGGCATCTTCCGCTCGTTCAGATGCTCCTTCTCCTGCTACTCCTCTTCACGGATTCCGTCAGCAGCAGTCTTTCTTGGAATCCGTTTCCAAGAGACAACAGTTTGCGAGCACGCACCCGACGGTGCAAAAGCTGAACGTCCTCCTGTCCAAGTTGCTGGTGCTGCAGTCCCTCCCCTTCCAAGTGGTGGACTCAGCACCTTTCCGAGAAATGATGGCTTGTGCCGCGCCGCGGTGGAGAGTGCCAAGCCGTCATTTCTTCGCCAAAAAGGCAGTGCCAGCCCTGCATTCACATGTAGAAGAGATGGTGGGCCAGTCTTTGAGCATGTCGGTCTCTGCCAAAGTGCACGGCAGCGCCGACGTGTGGAGCTGTAACTACGGTCAGGGACAGTACATGTCATTTACGGCCCACTGGGTGAACGTGGTGCCGTCACAGCCGCACCAGCAACTTGGACAGGTCACGCCGCTTTTTTTGCCTCCACGTTTGCACGTCCTTGGTCCGGCAAAAAAGATGTCCGCCTCTACCACCTCTTCTTCCGCCGTGTCCTCAGCCGCCACCCCCGTGCCAAGTCCCATTACCCGACCGGCATATCACATGTGCAGGGCGCAACGGTGTCACGCTGTGCTGCACCTGGTATGCCTTGGCGAACGTAGTCACACAGGGGAGGAACTTCTCAGTGTAATGAACAGAGAAATCGACAGATGGCTGTCTCCGCGCAAACTGAAAATCGGAACCATGTTGACCGACAACGGAAAGAACATGGTGTCTGCTCTGCGTCAAGGAAGGTTGTGCCATGCGCCATGCATGGCTCACGTGTTCAATCTGGTTGTCAAGCGGTTCCTAAAATCCACCATCCCACTGCAAGACATCCTTAAAATGTCACGTAAACTTTGCATGCATTTCAGCCATTCCCAACACCGCAAAGCACACCCTCCTTGAGCTGCAGCGGCAGAACGGAATTCCACAGCATCGCCTGATCTGCGACGTTGCAACAAGGTGGAATTCAACCCTACACATGTTAGACCGCCTTTACGAACAGCGAAAGGCCATCACCGATTTCCTGATGTTACAAGCGGATAAAGGTACTCCCCTGTGTAACTTCGATGTCAGCCATTGGCAGCTCATGCGACACCTGCCGCTTGCTCAGGCCCTTTGAGGAGGCCACGCTATTCGTGAGTCGGCAGGACTATGGGATGAACGACGTCATTCCTCTGTTGCACGTCCTGGAACAAATGCTGTTAACAATGGCTGGTCAGGGTGCGGTAGACGTGGCGCACAGATCTCAACGCCACATGACCCCTGTGGGGGCAGGACAGGAAGAAGAGGAGGAGGTAGAGGAGGACATTTGTGCTCAGGAATTATTGAGTGAAATGGGTGGTTTTTTTTCCACTCAGCGGACAGGAGTGGAGGAGCAGGAGCATCTGGTAGAGGAGGAGGAGGAGAGACAGAGGACCCAGACGCACCGTGGCAGTATGCTGTGGAGATGGAGGCAGGGAGTCCCTCGCATTCCTTGGCACAAATGGCCCATAGCATGCTCGCTTGCTGCTTGCGTAGCGACAGCCGAATAATAACCATCAGACAGAGGGATGACTTTTGGCTGTCCACCTTGTTGGACCCAGCTCGCTACCGTTCAAAAATGGTGGCCTTTTTTTTCACACCTGCTGAGAGGGAGGCCAAAATAACGTACTATAAAAACCACCTATGTAGTCAGTTGGTCTCTGCCTTTCTGCGCCAACGTCCATCCTCAGACACTGTGGGCCCTGTGCGCTCTCGCGTTCCGCTGCCATGGCAGCAGGGGAGGGGTGGGGTGGTAGGAGCAGTGGCAGCTCCACCAGCAGCGGCTGCCTCAGTCTGCAGTCGATGATGAGTAGCTTTCTTCACCAGCGCAGTGAGGAAACTACTAACCAGCCGCAGCAGCAGCAGCAGCATCAGGTGGACCTGGAGCAGGACCTCAAACAACAGGCTTGGGCCTACTTGGACAGCACCCTGCCAACCGAGGTAGACAATCCCCTTGACTACTGGGCAACGAAACTTGACCTTTGGCCCCAACTAGCTGAATTTGCCCTTGAAAGGCTGTCATGCCCGGCCAGTAGCGTGGCATCGGAGCGCGTGTAGTGCGGCAGGAGGTATTGTAACTCCGCGGAGGACACGACTGTCCACCCAAAGTGTGGAGAGACTCACGTTTGTGAAAATGAATCAGGCGTGGATTAGTCTGGATTTCAAACCACCAGTTCCTGACACAACTGACTAAATCCGCCATGAATCATGCCCCAAACATGTGCCACTTTCAGGTCTCCTCACACTGCTGGTGTGTTCCATTTTTTGTCATAGGGTGCTGGCAGATTACGGGCCTCCCATTGCTGCTGCCAGGGCCCTAATCTGCCATGGGCCCCTGTACCGCCTCCTCATGCTGCTGCCAGGTCCAGAGTGTCCATCATGGGTCCCTGTACGGCCTCCCATTGCTGCTGTCTCCATCGCCACACTCTGCCATGTGCCACTTTCAGGTCTCCTCACACACTGCTGGTGTGTTCCATTTTTTGTCATAGGGTGCTGGCAGATTACGGGCCTCCCATAGCTGCTGCCAGGCCCCTAATCTGCCATGGGCCCCTACCGCCTCCTCATGCCGCTGCCAGGTCCTCATGCTGGGTCCCTGTACGGCCAGGTCCACAGTCTCCATCGCCACACTCATGCCATGTGCCACTTTCAGGTCTCCTCACACTGCTGGTGTGTTCCATTTTTTGTCATAGGGTGCTGGCAGATTACGGGCCTCCCATTGCTGCTGCCAGGCCCCTAATCTGCCATGGGCCCCTGTACCGCCTCCTCATGCTGCTGCCAGGTCCAGAGTCTCTCATGGGTCCCTGTACGGCCTCCCATTGCTGCTGTCTCCATCGCCACACTCTGCCATGTGCCACTTTCAGGTCTCCTCACACACTGCTGGTGTGTTCCATTTTTTGTCATAGGGTGCTGGCAGATTACGGGCCTCCCATAGCTGCTGCCAGGCCCCTAATCTGCCATGGGCCCCTGTACCGCCTCCTCATGCTGCCAGGTGCCATGGGTCCACAGTGTCTCATGCCATGTGCCACACTCCATGTGCCACTTTCACACACTGCTGGTGTGTTCCATTTTTTGTCATAGGGTGCTGGCAGATTACGGGCCTCCCATAGCTGCTGCCAGGCCCCTAATCTGCCATGGGCCCCTGTACCGCCTCCTCATGCTGCTGCCAGGTCCACAGTGTCTCATGCCATGTGCCACTTTCAGGTCTCCTCACACTCTGCCATGTGTGTGTTCCATTTTTTGTCATAGGGTGCTGGCAGATTACGGGCCTCCCATAGCTGCTGCCAGGCCCCTAATCTGCCATGGGCCCCTGTACCGCCTCCTCATGCTGCTGCCAGGTCCACAGTGTCTCATGCCATGTGCCACTTTCAGGTCTCCTCACACACTGCTGGTGTGTTCCATTTTTTGTCATAGGGTGCTGGCAGATTACGGGCCTCCCATTGCTGCTGCCAGGCCCCTAATCTGCCATGGGCCCCTGTACCGCCTCTCATCATGCTGCTGCCAGGTCCAGAGTGTGTCATGGGTCCCTGTACGGCCTCCCATTGCTGCTGCGGAGGCAGCAGGGTCGCAGCAGTGTCAGTGGAGGCAAACGGCCACGGAGTAGAGCACCCAGCTCCACTGCAGCCTACCACCACGGCCAGTAGTGGTGCCGGTGTGCACGGAGGAAGTAGCAGTCCAGCCATGAGGAGGTAGCGGGGGCAAAGTTTCCTACTCGGCCAGGTGCCAATTTTTCGTCAAGGCCCCTGAAGTAAACCGCCTCCGACTATGTGGCTCAAGCTGGCCAGGGGGCCCATGTCATGGGACTACAGCGTGCGTACAGCATATTGCTGCGTCTCCATTCGGTGGCCAAAACCTGCCATAAAGCCACTTTCAGGTCTCCTGCTCACACTGCCCCAGCCCAGGGTTCCATTTTTGTCATAGGGTGCTGGCAGATTACGGGCCTCCCATTGCTGCTGCCAGGCCCCTAATCTGCCATGGGCCCCTGTACCGCCTCCTCATGCTGCTGCCAGGTCCACAGTGTCTCATGGGTCCCTGAACTGCCTCCCATTGCTGCTGTCTCCATCGCCACACTCTGCCATGTGCCACTTTCAGGTCTCCTCACACTGCTGGTGTGTTACATTTTTTGTCATAGGGTGCTGGCAGATTACGGGCCTCCCATTGCTGCCGCCAGGCCCGTAATCTGCCATGGGCCCCTAGTACCGCCTCCTCATGCTGCTGCCAGGTCCACAGTCTCTCATGGGTCCCTGTACGGCCTCCCATTGCTGCTGTCTCCATCGCCACACTCTGCCATGTGCCACTTTCAGGTCTCCTCACACTGCTGGTGTGTTCCATTTTTTGTCATAGGGTGCTGGCAGATTACGGGCCTCCCATAGCAGCTGCCAGGCCCCTAATCTGCCATGGGCCCCTGTACCGCCTCCTCATGCTGCTGCCAGATCCAGAGTCTCTCATGGGTCCCTGTACGGCCTCCCATTGCTGCTGTCTCCATCGCCACACTCTGCCATGTGCCACTTTCAGGTCTCCTCACACGCTGCTGGTGTGTTCCATTTTTTGTCATAGGGTGCTGGCAGATTACGGGCCTCCCATTGCTGCTGCCAGGCCCCTAATCTGCCATGGGCCCCAGTACCGCCTCCTCATGCTGCTGCCAGGTCCACAGTCTCTCATGGGTCCCTGTACGGCCTCCCATTGCTGCTGTCTCCATCGCCACACTCTGCCATGTGCCACTTTCAGGTCTCCTCACACACTGCTGGTGTGTTCCATTTTTTTGTCATAGGGTGCTGGCAGATTACGGGCCTCCCATTGCTGCTGCCAGGCCCGTAATCTGCCATGGGCCCCCGTACCAACTCCTCATGCTGCTGCCAGGCCCGTAATCTGTCATGGGCCCCTGTTGTCACTTGTTGGCATATTCCGCTCGTTCAGATGCTCCTTCTCCTGCTACTCCTCTTCACGGATTCCGTCAGCAGTCTTTCTTGGAATCCGTTTCCAAGAGACAACAGTTTGCGAGCACGCACCCGACGGTGCAGAAGCTGAACGTCCTCCTGTCCAAGTTGCTGCTGCCAGGCTCGTAATCTGTCATGCGCCCCTGTACCGCCTCCTCATGCTGCTGCCAGGTCCAGAGTGTGTCATGGGCCCCCGTACCGACTCCTCATGCTGCTGCCAAGGCCCGTAATCTGTCATGGGCCCCTGTACCGCCTCCTCATGCTGCTGCCAGGTCCAGAGTGTGTCATGGGTCCCTGTACGGCCTCCCATTGCTGCTGCTAGGCCCGTAATCTTCCATGGGCCCCCGTACCAACTCCTCATGCTGCTGCCAGGCCCGTAATCTGTCATGGGCCCCTGTACCGCCTCCTCATGCTGCTGCCAGGTCCAGAGTGTGTCATGGGTCCCTGTACGGCCTCCCATTGCTGCTGTCTCCATCGCCACACTCTGCCATGTGCCACTTTCAGGTCTCCTCCCACTGCTGGTGGTTTCCATTTTTGTCATAGGGTGCTGTATGGCCTCACATTGCTGCTGCCTCCACCGCCACACTGTGGCTCCACACTCTGGTTTTGGCCCCGTGACTGCCCAAATGAGTGAAGTGTGCGGTGATTCTAAGATCGATGGCACTCATCTGCATGTCATACTGACTGTCAGTATTATTTCTCTTCCCCAGCAGACTCCAAGGGCATTTAAATTAAAGGTACAGTGTTCTGCACTAATATAAAGGCTCTCTGAAGCCTAGAAACACCCTTTTATAAGTTAAATTCGCAGCGAATATATTCGACTCGAATCGAAAGTTTTTCACGAATTCGCCGAATCAGTCGAATTGAATTTTTGAATAATTCGCTCATCTCTAAAAATTATAGAAATCATTTTTATACAGTCTGATTTCTATAGTATTCACCCTATGCTGAGAGTATTGGCATATGTGTTACCTTTTACCTTGTATAGCACCAACACATACTGTGTGAACAGTATTTGGCACGTCTATTTAGTATGTAAATATGTAATTAGTATGTTCTGTAAATATAGCAATCTTACATATATGAATATATGCATTTGGTTTATTATGACTGATTCTGATTAAATTATTTTGTTCAACAGCACCTCTGCACTCCTGATAAAACTATGTAGGAAACGCATCAAGTGCACAATAACTAAACCCCTAAAGTAAGAGTAGCAGTAATGTGATATTGCAATCCATATGAAGAATATCTTTGATGTATTGCTTATATTTTAAAGTATATTGTGGACCACATTTACAATGTTATTGGGACGATTATATCACAGGTTTCTGTTTGCTATAAACCAGGGGTGTCCATCCTGCGTCCCAAGACAGCTATGAATGCGGCTCAACATTTTTATTTGGAATATTTTTTTTTTTTTAAATGTATCTACACTTAGGAAACATATGCGGCCAAAAAAACAATTGACAGTGTCTCTTTACTGGACTTTTTGTAAGTTTTATCTTCCCAAAGAAAAAATTTCCCATTCTTCACAATTAAACCTTCATGTCATCAATTTTTGGCAGCACCTATTTTTGTGAGCAACTATTTTCAAGCATGAAGCACACAAAAAGGGAAAAATTAGAACTAAAAAATCTGATAACCTTCAGAATTCATTGAAAATTGCTACTACATCCATCGAATGAGATATTGATAAATTTGTTTATTAAAAACAGTGCCAAATATTGTACTAATTTTATGATGCCTTCTTTTACTTTTATAATACAAAATATTACAAAAAAAGTTGTAATACTCATTACATACTATCTAGATCAGTGACCATTAACTTGTAATCCGCCTGACTTTTTTTCCCCATCAGCTATCCTTATTGTTAGTGTTCTGTATATTATCATTGTGTTGAGTAGGGAACCATTTGTTTGGTGTTCGTTGCGACTGCACCTGTTTTTATTATTCGTTTCAACAAGAATAGGGAGTGTTTTGGTATTAAAGATTTTCCATCAACCACTGCAGCCATTTTAGCTTCCTGAAGAACATCAGATAAGGTCTCCTCCATTCTCCCTTTCATACACATATGCCTGTAAGGTAATTTGTTGTGTTTATTAAAGTTACATATATATCCAGATTGCATTTAAATGTATTTAATGTGATTTATAGGTAGCTGTTTGCAAGAAAGGTGTTCATAGTATGCATTTGTAAAAGTCATGTACAAGTATATTGTAACTTCAGTTTATGTAATTGTATTGCAGTTTTACAGAACTATTCAAAAAAGTAAATTCAGTTTTGGAATTAAACACAACACTGCTTCTGTTAGTTTTGATAGCTGTCGGTTAACCGTTAGTAGGACAGCATAATAATAGACATCTGTATATAGGCAAAGATAAAATGAGCTTAACGTAAAAGAATCCACACAAAAACTGTACTTGGGACTGCAGTCCACTTTAATTCCTATATCATGGATCCAGATAGGAGTGTGGACATTCCACACAAAACTTCAAAGACCAGGTCTTACATGTCTGGCTCCAGATATTGAGTGCGTTCTAGCAGATTATAAGTCAGTTCTGTAGGCCTCAGAGCAAGAGCAAAGGCAGAAGCAGCACAAGCAGAGGCCTTATATGCTCAAAAATAAGCTGACTTGATGAGGCAGAAAGTATAGTTAGAATCCAACTCTTGGAGGCAGAAAGCAGAGCTAGAAGCTTGTATGCATGTGCTGCAGACTTAGATGGCAGCATCAGCAGAAGTCGCAGTATAAAAAAAATGCGGTTGGCACAGAAGGAGATTGGTTCCAAGATCTTGAGGAAACAGCAACGCATTATTCAGCGCAAAAAGACTCAGGAACATATGTACAGAACCATGCTCCAGACCAAGTTAGAACAGAGTATGCTTCTATCAAGCCTATCTGCAACACATTCCCACAGTTTCCTAACTTGACATACTGACAGCCCTCTCCAGATATACCTGTAC